CTGTTAATCACAGACACACACTGGAACACAGAGATACAGACACTGTTGATCACAGACACACACTGAACACAGAGATACAGACACTGTTAATCACAGACACACACTGGAACACAGAGATACAGACGCTGTTAATCACAGTCACACACTGGAACACAGAGATACAGACACTGTTAGTCACAGACACACACTGGAACACAGACATTGTGAGTCACAGACACACACTGGGCTCCACCATGGGAGTAAGGCATCAGTATAGTCATTGCTGTAAGTCAGAAGTCTCCACACACCTGATTTAGGGACAGGAGTTCTCTTCACAGTATCTGTAGAGATAAAAGACGGGGATTGATGTGGTGTTCAGTCACACCGCACACTGTGTTTCAGGATGTTCAGTCAGTCACACCGTGTTCCAGGGATTTTTTTAAACTAAACTTACCAATTTCTCGACGAAGTGCAAAATTCACTGCAAATTAAAGAAACTTGTATAAGACCGCAAAGTTTAATCACAACAAGTCAGGTGATATAAGTTATTAAGTATTTTTCTGCTTAAGCGTGTAGAATTAGTTTTATAAATCTTTAAATAAGTGAACTCTTGGTGTTCAGTCACTCCAGCCTGCTAATAATTCAATAACATTTCTGGCTTCCAACTGTAATAGTGTTGAGATCACAGTCTCTATGTCTCTGCTTGAAGCAGTAGCCCAGACTGGATAGGAGTGCTAAGCACACAGAGGAGTGAGAGAGTGACCAGGCACCGCAGAGAGGAGTGAGAGAGTGAGACGAGGCTCCACAGAAAGTCAGAGAGTGACCAGGCACCGCAGAGAGAAGTGAGAGAGTGACCAGGCACCACAGAGAGGAGTGAGAGAGTGACGAGAGCTCTGCGGAGAGGAGTGAGAGAGTGAGACGAGGCTCCACAGAGAGGAGTGAGAGAGTGACCAGGCACCACAGAGAGGAGTGAGAGAGTGACGAGAGCTCTGCGGAGAGGAGTGAGAGAGTGAGACAAGGCTCCACAGAGAGGAGTGAGAGAGTGACCAGGCACCGCAGAGAGGAGTGAGAGAGTGACGAGAGCTCTGCGGAGAGGAGTGAGAGAGTGAGACGAGGCTCCACAGAGAGAAGTGAGAGAGTGACCAGGCACCGCAGAGAGGAGTGAGAGAGTGAGACGAGGCTCCATAGAGAGAAGTGAGAGAGTGACCAGGCACCACAGAGAGGAGTGAGAGTGAGACGAGGCTCTGCAGAGAGAAGTGAGAGAGTGACCAGGCACAGCAGAGAGGAGTGAGAGAGTGAGACGAGGCTCCCCAGAGAGGAGTGAGAGAGTGACTCCGGTGCGGCTCCAGGTCCTCTGCGTTGTGTGACTCACACTCAGATATCCACCGTCTCTCGAGCTCTGGAAAGAACACAGACAACACAGTCACTCACAGCTGGCTTCCTGAGAGAGTCAGAGAGTGAGGCAGCGAGTGAGAGGGGTAAGAGGGAGTGAGGGAGGAGGAGAGGGAGTCGAAGAATAAGAGGGGTGAGAGAGAGAGGGGTGAGGGAGTGAGAGAGGATGTGAGGGTGTATAACACCGGTGTCACTCTGAAAAATAACCTATAAAGTATGATATAATGGTGTCTGTACACTGACCCCTGTTCTCAAGAGCAGGGTGTCCTGTGCTGATCGTGAACTGCCATACAGTGGTGTTTAAACCCCTCCTCACACAGACATTCAAACACACATCTCTCATGAGCACATACTGTCCATTCTCCCCCACTGGATCACCAGAAGTGCTGACACAGCTACAGCCACAGCTGCTGTTACACAGAGAGCCACCATCCATCCAGAGGGTCCAGGGAAAAAGTCTCCTGGAAAACAGCACAGGAATGTGATCCCACAGGAACTGACAGCATCTAGTAGCCTGGATCTCCCACAATAAGGCAAAGATGCATGGGAGCAGACATCCCAAACTGCTGGAAATCACTGTGTCAGCATAAAAAAACAAAAGAGAACTTCTGGTTATCGATGTAGCAAACACATGGGAAATGATGTCATTGAGGCTGAGTGGGAAATCCAACTTCCTGTTACCACATGTCGGCAGGTTGCGCCACAAGAGGGGTGTCTTGATGACGGTCTGGCACTAGAGGCCGCTACAAGGGACTTGTTCCAGGTGCTGTGGAACAGTTCCCCCGGCTGCAGAACTGACTGGAAGGATACGGACGTGGGTTAAATCAGAGTCCAGTCATCTCTGGTCTTCCGTGGGATGACAACCAAACAGATCAGCAGTAAAAAGCAGTGCAGAGGTGTCGATCCCTCAGTGTGCTGCGAAACTGCCTGAAATAAAGACGGGTCACTGGTCTGGATGCTCAGAAGACTCTGTCCAGGTGGCCCAGTGGTTATATCATCGCTGCCTCACAGCTCTGGGGCCCGGGGCTCAGTTCCTGAGGTGCTGTCTGTGTGGAGTTCGCATGTTCTCCCTGCATTCACACGGGTAAACCCTGTCTTGTGCCCAGTGCTTGCTGGGATAAACTCTGGCTTCCCCATGACCTTGTACTGGATAAAGCATGTTCGAAAATGGATGAAGTGGGAATGAGTTTTGTCTTGCTGTTATGACTAAAACATGAATTCTGAAAACTCCTGAAATATTGTCTTAGTACGATACTCACTGGGTATGTGGAGCTGAGATTCCCAGTCTGGTTCAGGAAGAGCACTTCTGACCAGACAGGAGAAGATGTTGGACTCCTGCTGGACTGGGATGTAGCTGCTGACACTGAGGAGCCCCTGACTGTCCTTCTCCACTGTGGTGCTGGACAGCGAGGTCACATCGTGTCCATCTCTGTCTGTCCAGATCACTGCAGGTGCAGGGAACCAGCCCTCTGACCTGCACAGCAGCTGGGTCTGACCTCCTCCAGGGGAGTGGAGAGACACTGAGGGCTGGGAGCCCAGGGCTGTGGATTCGTCACAACAGGAGATATTTCACAGCTGATTAAAACACATTGAAGTAAAATATTTCTACACTGTGCATTCAGAACACAGGATAGACAAGGGGAGGCTTCCTATCAACAGTCTGAAGCTTCTGTACATTACAACTCGCACAATTATTTTAATTTCTAAAAGCAGAAGCAGTGACTGTTTCTCCACTCCGACTCAGAGAATACTGTCAACTAACTAAATAGTTCAAGCATCAGGTGGTCATGTCTGTGTACAGGAGATGGCATCAGTGTCACAGGGACACCTGGCTGCAGACAAACGTGCTTTAATGACTGCTGAGTTGTGTTGTGTAGTGCTGTGTTCAGTTGTGTTGACATGTGTGATGTTGTGCTGTGTTGTGATGCAGAGTGCTATGCTGTGCTGTGTTGTTGTGCTGATGCAGAGTGCTATGCTGTGCTGTGTGGTGTTGTGTTGCAATGTGTTATGTTGTGCTGTCTTGTGTAGTGTTGACTTGTATGCTGGACTGCGTTTACTTTGCACTGTGCTGAATTGTTTCGTATTGAATTCTGTTCTGTTGTCTAGAAAGAAAGAAGTCAGGGTATCAGCTTCACCACTGTGGCTGGGCAGCCTGTTCCACACTCCTACCACTCTTTGTGTAATACACTGTCTCCTGTTCTCAGTTTCAAATGCTCTTCCCATTCTTCCCATTCTCAGTGCCCTAGAGGATTTTGAATACTTGGACTCTTCCTACCTGATCCAGTCACAGGAATCCTGACAAGAAGCAGCAGAATCACAAGGAGATGCTTGGACTCAACAGACACCATCACTGAAAGAGATCCACTGATTACTGCATGCCTCCATGTCACAGTACAAGCCCATTGGCTTCAACCACAAGGCGGGCCAGCTTGTTCCCCACTCCCACCACCCCTGGTGCAGAGCAGAGTCTCCGGTCCTGAAAGGAGGATCTCAACCAGCTGTTTCTTGAGAGAAGCCAAGGTATCGGCTTCAGCAGCATGGCTGACCCACACTTTTCCTACACATCCGGACTATTCGGACACGATCCCGTCTGATTCCATGAAACACCTGGAACCTTTCCATGACACACAATTTGGGAAACTGCATCAGAAACATCTAAACTAGAATATCGTGTTCCATTCCGGTCAACACAGCACAGAAAATAAATTACAGCCACAGAAGGAGTTCAGAGAAGAGCACCAAGAATAATGATTGCTGGTCTCAGGCGACTGTCTGATACCAGCTGGGTAAAGATACTAAATCTCTTCAGGTTTGACGGAGACGGAGACGAGATCGGACCCCAGTATATAAAATCCTCAGGGGTTTCCACACCCCACAGTGAAACAACTGCAAACTAAAAAGGAATTAATTTTGGATGCATACATTAACTTACCCAAAGAGTGGTGGGTGACTGGAACAGGCTTCCCAGGCAGGTGGTTGAGGCCCAAACTCTGGTGCTGGACCAGAGCGGTTCAGTCCACAGTGGGATCAATCTCAACTTTCCGGCGGTTTTACAGCTCCCGAACACTTGCCTTTCAGTAGAAAACAAAAACAACGACACTTCTGAAGCTTTCAGTCCTTCAAGTCACATTAAACAATCCAATGAGGTCTGTCTCCTGCCTCGACACGCCGTTCACGAAGATTCCCAGGACTCTTCGTCTGACTCCCGCAGGGCACAGGGCAGCGTCCCCCAAGCTCTCTCTTCCCCTTTCTGGGCGAGGAACTGCGCAATCGCGGCCGACGCGCCTGGGCTTTCTTAAACTGCCGCAGTGTGGTCAGACTCTCTCGTTGTTCCGGGAATCTTCACCTCCCGGCGACGAGCTGCAGAGACCTCTCGGCCCACCCGGCCCGTGTGGCGCTTAGTAGTTAACTGTTCCCCGGATCTCATCCAGCTGTGTCTATGGAAGGATCCAGGGGATCGGCTTCTACAACGTGGCTGGGCAGCTTGTTCCACACTCCCACCACCCTCTGTGTAAAGAAGGGCCTCCTGTCCTGACTGGAGGAGCTCATCCAGCTGTTTCTTGAGAGATTCTTACATTTATCTAGATTAGGACACAGGATGCTGTGAAGAGAAACACCTGACGGGGTTAATTAGATCAGACTGGTGAGCTGATTTAGTGATGCCACATCACTTCACACTGAGTGCTAGTAAAGATTGTGTATTACAGGCTGGGCTCCAGAACACCCTGTGTCCATGAGAAAGCTGTCAGTTCTAATTGTCCATATCACATACTATAGATGCTGACAGAGCCAGCAGCTCACAGCCTTCAGCCCGGTGGAGCTCAGCAGGTGTGAGCCTAGTCAGTACATGGAGAGGAGACTGGAGCATCATCCATGCGGGGCTGCACACTGGTGGTGGATGAGGAGAGTCCCCATTACCTGTAAAGAGCGTTGAGTGGAGTGTCCAGAAACACGCTATGTAAGTGTGAGGATATTAATTAGGCATTTATATACAGTACAGTATTTCCCTGCCACGATTAAGGACAGTATCACGCACTGTAGACCACCAACTGATATTACTCCGAAATAACTGAAATAAACCGAATCACAGCTATATCACGATGTGCGCAAGCTCTCGGAACACACGCGTACCACGCACAGTCACGGGCGTTTCCCGCTTACCTGTACCTCTACCTGTACGCGCAACATCACAAGGCGAACGGCGCTCCGAGTCCGACGTGCGGAGCACGGCTCCCGTCTCTCCAGGAGATACTGTATGTGCCCTTGAACTTCCCTCAACACGCAGTCACATGAGAAAAAACAACATGTAGGAAAACCACACGCTGCCGTCACCCGGACAGGAACTGGCGTAAATCTTTCACACTTATATTTCTGTAATCAAATATATATATATACGGACACTGTGGCGCGAGGGGGAAAAAACTACTCGGATTGAAAGAGAAACGCCAAGTTTCTGGTTTCTTTCGGGCAAGTCGGTCGCTCGTCCGTGTGATGTACTTTAACTGAAGTGAAACAGCGTGTAAGGAAACGACTGCGGATTCCGCCGCGTTATTTTGTAGTCCGTCCCGTGAAGTATCGGAGCTGAGGTTTCACATGCAAAGCCCGAAACGGAGAGCCTGGGAGGTGCGCCTGCCTGACAAACCCGGCCCCTCGGTGGCAGTCTAAGAATTCAGTCTAAGGCGACTCTCGACGCCACAAGCGGGTCTTCAGTGTGAATTCATTACTGGAGGAGGGAGACGTGTGCAAGTACCCAAGTGAAATCGCACAACCATGCCGCTGAGTAGCGCTTCATGATAGAAGATACCGACTCGCAGACGGTAAAACAGGTGGCCTACTGTACCTCAACACTCACTTTTCACTGCAGCACGACGGTAACAAACCCAAACAAACGATTCATGCACACAGCATAACCCTTAGCCCACTAGACAGTTGTCAGGAGACATACTTCCACACCATTTCAACCAACCTGCAAAATCAGCGCAGCAACTAAAGTAAAAACCAAAACAGGCGACAGTCTTTGCTACTTAAGAACCCTAAACCAAACATGTCCATAATCCCAACTAGCCACGCCAGAAAACCACCCACTAAAAAATTCATTTTAGCATGCCCGTAGTCAATAAAGTTGCCGTCTTCTCTCCGTCGTAGAGTTCAACCTCCTGAGCAGTTTCTCCTTCCATTCTCCACGGAATTTGCTGGATAAATCCCTTTCGCAGGCCAACTGAATCCGCCGGGCTTTCCGTCTGCGCGTCACGCTACGTCCGTGTTCCGGAAACCCGTCCCTCAAAGCAGCGAGTGAGCTCTGGCCCGTGGCCGCTGAGGCCCCAGACGCCAGCGCGGGTGTGAATGCGAGGAACGGTTTAACTTTTCCCAATGCCCAGAACGCTCTGACTGCCCAGATCCAGGGCCCTCAAGGCCTCCTCCAAGAGGAGCTCCCAGCTGGCAGCCCCCTGGAGCTCAGCAGGTGTGAGTCTGGTCAGCACCTGGAGGGGAGACTCCTGGGAAAGCTGAGGCTGCTGCTGGAAGAGGTGTTAGTGAGGCCAGTAGGGGGCGCTCACCCTGCGGTCTGTGTGAGTCCTAATGCCCCAGTATAGTGACGGGGACACTGTACTGTAAACAGGCGCCGTCCTTTGCATGAGACGTAAAACCGAGGTCCTGACTCTCTGTAGTCATTAAAAATCCCAGGGTGTTTCTCGAAAAGAGTAGGAGTGTTACCCCTGTGTCCTGGCCAAATATCCCATTGACCTTTACCAGTCATGGCCCCCTAATAACCCCCCTCTCTGAACTGGCTTCATCACTCTGCTCTCCTCCCCACTGAGAGCTGGTGTGTGTGAGCAGACTGGAGCATCATCCAGGAGGGGAGACCCCATTACCTGTAAAGAGCTTTGAGTGGAGTGTCCAGAAGAGCGCTGTGTAAGCAATTATTATTAATATTATTAATTATCTCTCCAAGAACAGCGTCCCCTCGGTCACATGCTCCTTCAGAGACAGCAGAATCGGCTGTTGGGCCGACTGGATCCTGTGTGCTCATTTTCTAACGTCCACGTTCAGGGTGCTAGCAAGCTCAGCAGCACAGCTGTGACGAGAGCCGGACCGGGCTCCCGTGAAGCGTAGTTCTGGACCCTGTGCAGGCGGTACGATCCGGAAGCACGTGGAACAGGAGGACGAGGATCTGGAGGGGTTGACAGACAGGGGGGCCTGGCCAGGGCGAACAGGTCCAAGGAGTTCGGGGGGGGAAATCCGGGGCAAAGTCCAAGGTCCAAAACCGGATGATCCGTCCGAGACGAACATAGACAAGGTTAAAATCTGGAAAAACAGGATCTGGGACAGGGACGGGGAATAAAACCAGGATGACGAGGCCAGGCGCTCCGAGCCCCGGACTCAGACGGTCAGGACGCCGTGATGAAGCCTGTGCCGTCGGGTCACTCCTGGACCCACTGGCAGGCGGGCCTCCGGGCGTCCATCTCCCAGTGCTGAGCCCAGAGCAGCGAGAGGGGCGGGGCTGAGGGTAGGTGCATGTGATTGGGTGAAATCTGAACGAGCTGGAGCGCCCTTAAGAGGAGGGATTACGATCGCAACAACAATTAGCTCACCTGCGAGGCTTTGGATTCCAATGTGCGCTCAGATAAGGCGGGTCCACCCCTGATCTGACCAGCACCGGGGCTGTTCCTCCTGGTGTGAGCTGGGGGTTCCTGGGGGTACCTGACCACTGACAAAGTACAACTACTGTATCTTTTAAGGGCGGAAGCTAAGTGAGCGAAAGTGTTCCAAAATCCTTCTCGTCCATAACTGAGAGGGCGGGGCAGCTCAGTGCCCCTCCCCCCCGCGGCGCCAGGCCCGAGCCTGACCTCGCCTGTCCACGGGGGGTTCGACACAGCCGGCCCGAAAGAGGAAGCTGCAGCGCTTGTGCGTTTAAGCAATCCGGTCCGACTGAGCCGCGTCATGGGCAGGGGGTTGATGGTTTATGCGCCACTGCATCTCTGGGTCCGCTCCCTGCTGTGCTTGGTGTTGTGTCTGTCTGCTCTGTGCTTGGTGTTGTGTCTGTCTGTTCTGTGCTTGGTGTTGTGTCTGCTCCGTGCTGTGCTGGGTGTTGTGTCTGCTCCGCGCTGTGCTTGGTGTTGTGTCTGCTCAGTGCTGTGCTGGGTGTCGTATCTGTCTGCTCTGTGCTTGGTGTTGTGTCTGCTCTGTGCTGTGCTTGGTGTTGTGTCTGCTCCGTGCTGTGCTGGGTGTTGTGTCTGCTCCGTGCTGTGCTGGGTGTTGTATCTGTCTGCTCTGTGCTTGGTGTTGTGTCTCTTTGCTCTGTGCTTGGTGTTGTGCCAGAGCCTAACCCAGCAAGCAACAAGCACAGGGCAGGACACAACCTGGACAGGACACCAGTCCATCTCAGGGCACTCACAGACACCGGGGACAGTCTTCTCAGGAGCCAGTTAACCTACCAGCCTGACTTTGGAACATAGGATGAAACCAGAGCATGCGAGAGAAACCCACATGGATGCAAGGAGAACATGCAAACTCCACACAGACAGCAACCCAGGTCCAGAACTGAACCCAGGTCCCCAGAGCTGCGAGGCAGCAATGCTTACCACTGTGCTGTCACCATGCCAACCTACATTGTACACAATCTTCTAAATGAGGCCTAACTATTGTGTCATACAATTTTATCTCCCTTCGCTTTAAATCCCACGATCTCATGATATCCCAATATTTTGTGTGCCTTCTGAGTTGGCTCACCACGTGGTCTAGAAAATGCAAATGATGTGGCCACATAAACTCCTTAGTCTTTTTCATAAGTAACCTCTTCCAGCTCGGTGTTTTCCAGTTTTGTATCAATAGTTTATATTTTTGCTACCTGCATGCAAAAACCCCGCACCTGTGTGCATCACATGTCAGCTCCAGACACAGTTCAGCTGCACTGCTCTGTGGGAACAGGAAAGGAGAAAGAGACAGAGCACTCTGCTCCTTCCTGTTTCCTGCTCTATAGGTGGCGCTAAACGGTCAGGTGGTTTGAAACGCTCAGGCCTCTCTGGCATGTGGGCAGAAGCATCCCAGCAGCTGACGATAGTAAGCAACAGTTAAGCTGTGGGGCAGCTGGGAGCATTCCCATTTACATAGTGCACTGCTGAACGCTAGTTGCTGTCCCGTGGAAGACTCTGGCACTGTTTGGAAAGCCCCTCTCCGGGCACGGTCTCAGGCTGTCACACTGCGGTCGCTCCGAGTGGTGGCCGAGTGTGCTTTCAAAAACAACAAACAGCTGCGAAAACAAAATGAGGAGAAGCATTTCCATAGGCGGCAGAGCAGGAATTTGCATTCTGGGATGTGGAAAAGGCTCCTCTCGCTGTCGAAAAGGGTGTACACAGCAGTACTGCACTGAGAGCAGCCCAGCTACAGACTGGGACACACTGGCACACAGCAGCACTGAGGACACACTGAGACACAGCAGCCCTGTGGACAGACTGGGACACGGCAGCACTGAGGACAGACTGGGACACGGCAGCACTGAGGACAGACTGAGACACAGCAGCCCAGAGGACACATTGAGACACAGCAGCACTGAGGACAGACTCAGACACGGCAGCCCTGAGGACACACTGAGACACAGCAGCCCAGAGGACAGACTGAGACAC